GCAAGTTACTACTACGAACGCCAACAACCGTACATAACGATATCATTGATCCACTAGAGTGGCGAAAACTTACACAGAAGAATCAATAATATAATGGGATACAGAGAGTTGGTTTAGGAAGACAAGATCAAATGACAATATCTAAAATCCATTAGTTTCTTCATCAATATGGCAACACTGGCGAAGAAAATGCATAAGAAACAAGAGAGTTCACAAGAAAATTACATTAAAGAAAAACGTCCAAATTTACATGGAAATGGATATCATGGTCAGTTACTTATCGAGAGAAATTGATGAAATAAGTACATTGTTTTCTGTACCAAATTGTTGTGATAAAATACTTAAAATATTCAGGTCAAAATCTTACATTAGAACTCAATAAATCAGAATTACTAATTTATGTAAAAGAGGCACGAACCATCATATGGGGTGTCTGGTGCTCGACAAACACATTCTTTAATATCACCAACAATCACCCGCTGTGATGAAAACGTAAGAGAAATTAGTAACAAAAATAAGCCAACCAAAAATTATTTAATGATCAATTAGTGACCTGCGAATAGAGTTTGTAACTCTCTGTCGTGTTAGGAAAGTCCAGGTCCATAATCTGTTAAAAACAAGTTATTATAATAATTTAAGACGAAACAGAAACATGAACCAAAATGAAGTAGACATGACATGGTTATAAAAAGTTAATAATGTCATTAAGCTGAAGATGAAACTTCACTTGAGTTTAAATATAGTTGGATGAAGGTGTTTATTTCAATTTGGTATCCAATGGATGATGACAATGTTAAACAGTTGAAGAGCCAATGTACTCTAACCCAAAGGCTATAGGTCCTGATGGATTTCGTATAGTTTAATTGAAACATAGCGATCGTTAAACAATGTTTTTTCTTGCACATGCAGTAACAAGTTGTAAACTATAAAGTCTATGATATGTTCTTGCTAGTAATCATAGAACAAACACCCAGGTGATCAGTTGTATTCTTAATAGTAATAATAAATAAATACTTTATTTATTATTTCATGTCTAGACAGACCTGGAATTCCCCAGGACGAACTTCCTTCCGTTTAAACGCATAGCGAGGTTTTATCTGTATTTCAGATACAAATAAAGGAAACATTACCAACATACTTAAAAATTCATGTTAAATACTATGATTAGTTGTTGCTTTACTTCAAAATCATACCTATACTTATCGATATATAAGGGAAGCTAATTATGGAAAAAATGTGCACAATTTCCCGCTAAATTTTCTATTCTAAATATAGATGTTTTTTTTTTTAATTTTTTTAATTGAAATTTTATACCTGATTTGATATCCTGATTAAATTTATTTCCATTTATTTAATACTCCTAATTGATTGTAAAGTTGAATTATATGTTGGGTTTCTTCTTTCATATTCTATCATATCATCAGTATGGGGAAATAACTAAAGATAGTAACGCATGCTAGCAAACTTGTAGTAATATGGTAAAAATTGGTTTAAAATTTTTTATGTAACAAGTACCATTTTCACACGAGTTTATGTTAATGAAATTCATCTTTATTGAAAATATCATTTATTTATCTTTTCATTTAATATTCATATTCATATTTAATTACTCTTCTGTTTAATGTTTGTTTATATTAACAATTTAATTATATATTGAAATAATAAGCATTGTATCAATTTTATTTTTTTTTTAATAAAAGCATACCAATGCATAGCATGGGCAAATATGCTAGTAATATTAATGTGTTCTGTTGATGTGAGTGTCACTGGGAGAAGAGCTAAAAAAACTTACAGAAATTCCTTTGTTTTCCAGGCTTTTTAACAAGCAATCAGAGAGAAATTCTCCTCCAATAGGAGATGTTGCAACAGCCTATATAGCAAACAAAAAAGAAATATAAAATACATAGAACAGAGCTTAAGGAGTGAGTTGGGGTATGTGTGTGTGTGGGGGGGCGGGTGTTAGATAAACAACTTTTGGGTTGAGATAAAATAAAGAGCATACTACATCTTCAGTTAAATCAAACTTTCAGACGCAATAAAAATATATCAAGCATGTTGACAAAAGTAGTAAACGATAAAATAGTATCAATATTGCAAATGCCAGGCAATAGTGATGAGTTGATATAAAATCTTGCATAGTCCCCTACAACACAAGTGCATGCAGCTCAAGTGGAACAAAAAGTACGCATATAATATAAATGTATAGCCATTTATAATACATTAACAAAAAAATGAGTATACAAACCAATTTCCATTGTAACGACAAACCTTCTGAAGAACATATCCATCGTGTACTGGAACCACTGTAGTTGATCCTCCTCCACTAAATCAAACAAAAGCAAATGGAATAAGCTGGTTACAATACATTTCAAAAGAGAGTGTTGAATTGCAGAAGAAATTTGGGGAGGAAAACCTCCATTTTCAAATATATTTCTTAGCCCAAGTAGAAACTCCTATTATGAATCGTATTTCATAACAATGAAAGAGAATGACATCAACTATTCAGCTAAACACAAACTATAATCCAGAATACACCAACTCATATGATCCCAGCACGTGCCTACCTGAATAGAACCTTCGATCTAACCTTACCTCATATGTAAACTCTGAAAGTAGACATTAAATTTCTGTTCTACAACTGGGTAAGTGAATAAGA